ATTAATTAATCAATTAAATTATTTATGTAACAATAATATTAAAATAAATATCTATTTTTATAATTTTTTATATAAATTTATTATAAAAATGTATTTATTATATTATTAAGATATAATTTAATGGCATAAGTTAGATAAAATTTAAAAAATAATTGTTCTGACTGCAGAAGGTGAAACGGCAAAACGTTCTTTGAAATGCAATAGAAGGAAAACCTTTTTCATTTGGCCTTCCTTACTATCAAATCCTGCAGGCTACAAAAAAAAAAAAGATCGATCTCAACACCACACAGTGGCACACATGACTTGAATCAACATCATTACTAATTAAGCCCAAGACTGCTGCAAGATTTATAATCAGAAAAACCAAGCTAAGCTCCGAAGATTAATAAACACAGCTAGATCTAAGCCAGGACCTCAAAAAAGTTAACTGTTCAGCAGTCTCCCTATAATAACAAATGCTGAAATAATAGCGAACTCAAACAGATGGATGAATTTTGGCAAAAAAAAAAAAAAAAAAAAAGAGAGAGAGCGAGATGGAATAAAACCTATTTCCAGCTCCGTGGTCGTGTCCGAACGAACAAATTCGTGGCGCCTGGGGATGTAATCATAGACTGAGACATTCGACATATCATGTAATGCCTTCCAAGCATCTCTGGCTGACTTTTTTTTCTTTATTAGATCAAACGCCTTTGCACCACATGAAATCTTAATGGCATGTAGAGCTAAAGCATTCTTTTTATTCCACACCCTCTCCTCATATATTTCTTCAGTTGTCGGGATTGGTTCAATAACATCCCAAACGTCTTGAGCCGCTAAGTAGTGTTCTATTGAAATGCTCCACCTTTCATAATTATATTCTCCAAGAACTTCTGGTACAATTGTGTTCGGAGGCAGAGTAGCTATTTCCATGTTAGCCTATGAAATATTTCACCATGCATAAAACTAATTAACTTCAGCACTATTTTCTTTTTGCAGAAGAATTTCAAATTACCAAAAAAAAAATGACAATAAGCAGCATGGCAAATCGTGATGATAGAAAAACTGATGCCAACATATATAAAGGTGCACTCAATCTGGTTAATGAAAAGAACTTGGTTAACTAGCTATAACATCCCAAATCCTACATTGGTGTTTATATTTTTGCGATTACTATATTATCATTAAAATTGTAAAAACAAAATTCAGTGATAAAATCATATATCCCACAACAATATGTATAGCTAAAATAATAAATTTGAGAATAATAAAAAAAAGTTAAATTTCCAGTAATTTACCTCAAAAAAAAAGAAGCTAAC